TAAACTTTCTCTGTTACTATCTCAACAACTCTACTGTCACTCACAGAACTGTGTCTACCAGTAATTCTGGCTACTACCACCAGTTCTACCGTGACTATCACAACTATCTACGTCAACTACTACTACTATTACTACTACTGTCATAGTTACCTCAGTGTCAACTAACAGTACCAATGCCGGTGCTGAACGAACATCAGAAATCTAACTTCAGATTGCCCCATCTACTGAATATTTATGACTGTTCGTTTGGATTTAGTAAGTGGCTGAGAGGTAGCGAGTGTACCAGGCAACATCTCGCCGTCTTCCCTATCACATAGCACGTTTTCTCATACATAAAACAATTTGTGCTGCCCTAACTAGCTTGAATGATAGATTTACACTGAACATGTGGGTCCTGAAGGGTCTGTCAACTCCACTCTCTAGGACACCATTTATCTAGTTGAATACTGTACGAGGACTCCATGAATTTAGATAAATCGTATTCTAGGACACCATGTACCTATACTAGGACTATGTATCTAGTTAAATCCTATTCTAGGACACCATGTACCTAGCTGTATCCTATACTAGGACTATGTACTAGTTAAATCCTATTCTAGGACACCATGTACCTAGCTGTATCCTATACTAGGACTATGTATCTAGTTAAATCCTATTCTAGGACACTATGTATCTAGTTAAATCCTATTCTAGGACACTGTATCTAGTTGAATCCTATACTAGCAGAGTGCTTGCCCAACCAGTTCTGGAAAGCACTGCCTTCACAATCACAACAGCTGGAACAATACTGAAATAACCCGCATATAGAACAGAGAGGTTTACGACGACGTAAGCTTACGACGACGTAAGCTTACGACGGCATAAGTTCCTCTCTCCTATGTGTGGGTTATTTCTGTGTTGTTCCAGTCGCGGTATTGTTCCTTGTTGTTCTGTAATTGCTGGAAGTTTGTTCCAGAGTGAAGGAGAGACAGTCAGTGTCATTAAAAAGATATATTAATCTAAGACTCATCACTGATTTAATTATTAGCATAAATATCGCAAAGACGGTCTTTAATTCAAGGTTGATTATGTGGAAAGGATTTGGAGGTAAAACGAGTGATGGAGGAGAGTGAGATGAGAGAATGAGTGAGTCTTGGTCAGTAAATTTGGCTAAGAATGTGGAAGAGGTTTAGAGAGAGATTAATAAGCTGAGAAAGCCTGGGGACAAATGCATTTTTTGACGAACATCAATTTTTAGCTAAAATATGTATATATGCTAATTGAAAAAAATAATATAACTTATCTTACTTGTTCCATAAAATGCAACTGTAGCAGCTGTTTCGATTAAAAGTGTGTTAATTTATGTATTTTAGTACGGCAAGTACTAAAATACATAAATGCTAAAATGAAAGATGGGAGATTTTAGATGTGGAGACGGAGGCTCTGGGATGCTGGAGGGAATACTTAATAAGATGTTGATGATGAGAGGGAAACGGTAATTTCATGCATTGGACAGAGAGGTATAACATCTTATAGGAGTTAGGAAGATCCAGATGTGAGTGTGGAGGGAGGTGCGTGAAACAGTAGGTAGAATAAAAGGGGTGAAGCACCTGGGATTGATGGGATCATAACAAAACTGTAAAAAAAAAGGAGGGGATAGAGTTAATATAGTCCATTCATGAAAAATGGGAAGGTACCTAGGGATTGGCAGATAGCACATATACTTCCTTTGTATAAACCAAAGGGGACAAAAGAGAATGCAAGAATTATAGGGAAATAAACCTATTGAGCATACCTGGTAAAGTGTATGGTAGACTTATTATTGAAAGCATTATGAGTAAGATGGAGAGCAAAATTGCAAATGAACAAGGAAGCTTTAGAAAGGGTAGGGGGTGTGTAGATCAAGTGTTTAGAGTGAAGCATATAAGTGAACAATATTTAGATAAAAGCATGGGAATTTTTGTTGCGTTTATGAATTAAAAAAGAGAATATGATAGTGTAGACATGGAAGAGATGTGGTAAACTGCAAATGTATGGTATAGGAGGTAGGTTAATGAAAGCAGTGAAGAGTTTTTACGAGGATAGTGAGGCTCAGGTTAGAATATATAGGAGAGAGGGGGAGAATATTTCTTATTAAAAGTAGGCTTTAAACAGGGATGTGTGATATCACCATAGTTATTTAATATATTTATAAACGGGGTTATAAGAGAGGTGAATGCTAGGGTGTTGGGCAGAGGTGTGGGATTAAAAAATAAAGAATCTAACACAAAGTGAGAGTTGTCACAGTTGCTCTTTGCCGATGGCTCTGTGCTTTTGGGAGATTCTGAAGAGAAGTTGCAATGGGTAGTGGAGGAATTAGGGACGGTGTGTCAGAGAAGGAAACTATAAATACAGAAGAGCAAGATGATGAGAACTACAAAAAAGCTAAGGCAAGGAAAGAGAATATATGAAACTGGATAAAGGAAGAACGAAGGAAGTGAATGTTTTCAGATATCTGGGAGTGAACACGGCGGAGGAAAGCTCTATGAAAGAAGAGGTGAACGATAAAATACAGGAGATGAGACTGCAGAAGGTCAGGTGGAGCACTCAGGCATCTGTGGTAGGAAAGAAATTTATGCATGGAAGTAAAGGGAGGATTGTATGAGTATATAGTGTCACTAACGCTTTTGTATGGGTGTGATGCATGGGTTTAAAACGTTGCAGCAATAAGGCAATGGAAATATTGCGTCTGAGGGCAATGTGTGGTGTGAATATGTAGACAATTCGAAGTATAGAAGCTAGAAGACGGTGTAACGTATCGAGGATAAACTTTTCATAAGGGCTGAGGAAAGATTCTGGAGGATGTTTGGGCATATAGAGAGCACAGAATAGAATAGGATTACCCAGAGGATGTATATATCCGGGTTGGAGGTCAGGAAGGGTAGGGGTCATATCTGATAAGGCTGAACGGAGGGGTAAAGGTTTTGAGTGCTTGGGGGTTGAATATCCAACAGGGTTGTGAAATTGCTTTAAACAGGAGTGGAGAAAAGTGTTTTGTTTTGTGACTGGAGGTGCTGTTGGAGTGTGAGCAAGGAAACATTTATGAAGGGAGTCAGTGAAATCGGTTGCCGGACTTGAGTCCTGGAGGTGGGAAGTACAGTACCTGCACTCTGAAGCATGAGTGAGGATGTTACAGTCGTGGAGGTGGGAAGTACAGTACCAGCACTCTGAAGGATGAGTGAGGATGTTACAGTCCTGGAGGTGGGAAGTACAGTACCAGCACTCTGAAGGATGAGTGAGGATGTTACAGTCCTGGAGGTGGGAAGTACAGTACCAGCACTCTGAAGGATGAGTGAGGATGTTACAGTCCTGGAGGTGGGAAGTACATTACCTGCACTCTGAAGGATGAGTGAGGATGTTACAGTCCTGGAGGTGGGAAGTACAGTACCTGCACTCTGAAGGATGGGTGAGATTGTTACAGTCCTGGAGGTGGGAGGTACAGTACCTGCACTCTGAAGGATGAGTGAGGATGTTACAGTCCTGGAGGTGGGAAGTACAGTACCTGCACTCTGAAGGATGAGTGAGGATGTTACAGTCCTGGAGGTGGGAAGTACAGTACCAGCACTCTGAAGGATGAGTGAGGATGTTACAGTCCTGGAGGTGGGAAGTACAGTACCAGCACTCTGAAGGATGAGTGAGGATGTTACAGTCCTGGAGGTGGGAAGTACAGTACCTGCACTCTGAAGGATGAGTGAGGATGTTACACTTCAGAGATACATCTGAACTGTGATACCAACACACTTCTGGCAACACAGCGATTGACCGAATGACGGTAAATATGTTTCCTCTCTCTCGAGTCTCCTACGTCGCTGGACCACCACTGAGTAAAGAATAAAGAGAACTGAATAACCACAGAATAATGAATGATGATCCGAGGAAGAGGAGGGGAAGCTCCGATCCCCGGATCAAGAGAGTAGAAGCCACGCTGTAGAAGAGGGTTAGATCACTTCTTAGCAAAGAGTTGAAATCTCCGGGAGGAATCTATAATTTTTTTTGCGCCCTTCTGTTAGTAGCTGGTGAAGGGCTCTTGATTCAAGGTATTTGGAGCTTCCCTCTTCCTATACCTTGGATCAAGAGGATCTCCCCTAGCATCAAGATACATTGATGTTAACGGGAGTCTGAACGTAAGAGAGAGAGAGACAGATACTAGGTAGAGATAATAATAGATAAATAGATGATAGATAGATAGATAGATAGATAGATAGATAGATAGATAGATAGATAGATAGATAGATAGATAGAGAGAGAGAGAGAAAAGGAGAGAGAGGAGAGAGAGAGAGAGGAGAGGAGAGAGAGAGAGGAGGAGAGAAGAGAGAGAGAGAGAGGAGAGAGAGAGAGAGAGAGAGAGAGAGAGAGAGAGAGAGAGAGAGAGCTACTAGGTAGAGATAAAGATAGATCGATAGATAGATAGACAGATAGATAGATAGATAGAGAGACAGACAGAGATAGATAGAGAGAGAGAGAGAGAGAGAGAATGAGAAATACCCTTTTTCTCCCACGCCAACAGAAGCTCATACTTAACACCCACTAATTAACCTAACAGCAATGCGAGGCTAACTATCCCTGGTAACGATGGTAGTGGTGGATGTGGAGGCCGTGTGGGTATGTGGGCAGGAGTGCCCCAGGGCAGTAGCACCCATCCCTCTCCATTAACCCCCTTCTTAAAAGCTATTTACCGAGCTCTAATATGAAAAAAAACACATTTGTGTTTTTGGAGACGCTCTATATATGGTAATGTTAGATGCGCTATCACTGGATCTTCACGTTCTTTTTTTTCCACTTGCTGGTGCTCACCTGTAATGCTCCAGAGGCTCCGCCCATTGCTGGGTTTCCGAGGCTTCTATTGGCCCGTCGGGGCAGGTAAGTCTCCTCTGGTTGGTCCGAATTGACGTCAGTTTTAAAATTAACCCAACCGGAACGCGGCAGGGCACGACCGTGTGGCCAATACTGGAAGGGAAGGTTAGAACACGTGCGACCGTGTAACTGGCAGGGTGTGTGTGTGTGTGCTCTCTCTCTCTCTCCCCCTGTCTCTCTCCGTCTCTCTACCTGAGTGACCTGAAGACCTATAAGGAGGGGAGAGATAAAGGCTTGAGTCTCTCCAATCTTCCGCTTCGCTTCTTCGTGGCGTTTCAAGGAGGGAAGAGATAAGGGCTCGAGTATCGCAAGTTTTCCGTCTCGCTTCTTCGTGACGTTCCAGCAAGTGTACGAACGGCATCGACAAGCAGTTAGACAGAGCGACTCAAGAAGCCTGGGTTACCCCTGAGTTGTTCCAGTCATGCGGTACAGTGATCTGGATGATCCCAAGTAGTGTTGTTCTCCGCACTGGAACGCTGACACATCGGATAACAAGAAAAACAAGACCCTATCTACTCAAGCTTTTCCATTCCGACTTTTGTTATGACTTCGTCCATAGATAGAGAAATGGATGACTTACACATTTCTACTCGAGAGAAATGTTGATAAAGAAATAATTAAGAAGTGTTGATAAACTTGTATTTAGGAGCAAGGAAATTAAAGATTATTCTCGCCTGTGTTTGTGTTTATATCTAAAAATAAAAAACAGAAGCCACATTAATCGATTTTTCTTGCACGAGAACTAATTCACTGAAACTGTATATACACCAAAAATTATCCTATACGTATCAGTAATCGTTTATTTTCAGTTTGAAACAAAAAGATGAAAACGTATACAAACTCCTGAGTGATTCCGTCGTTGGGAAAAAAAATCTCAGCGTATCGGAGGCTGGATCTTACGATGCCACCAGCATCCTCATCCACACGAAAGATTTAATCTCAGTGAAGGCCTTCATCACCAAATATCCACACTCTCCAATCATTATATATTTAAACAAACACCAAGGCGTGTCTGACACGCGTTTTTTTTAGGGAGGTGTTTGTGTGTGTGTGTGTGTGAGTGTGGTGGTGGCGGGTGTGTGTACATTCCTCTACTTCACGAGAAGTGGCCCTTCGATGTTACAGCAATGGTGGAGTTAGTGGAGAGGGTTGAACACTACAAAGATACCACCTTCAAGTACCATCATCCATACCTGCCTCACGGGAGCTCAACGGCAGAGATTTCCGAGGTTAGTAACTCCCAGTATCGATAGACAATGCCCTCATGGTGATAAATAAGGTCAGGGCTGGATTAAGGGATGGGCTATAGGGGCTGGAACCCAGGAACCTCCGCCAACTGGAGGGCCTCCAGAGTTTAAGTGTAAAGTGTACACAGTCACTGTTGTAACCTCAATGTTATTACATCACGTATATGATAAACTCTTGAGTCCTGTTACTAAAGAGTGAATCTATATAAGAGGCCCTCACAGTACCTGTAGCCCAGGGGCCTACAAAATCTGAATCCGGCTCTGAATAAGGCACAACTGCAGCACTGTACTGCCCCAACGGCAGTCAAGTGAAGAAGTGAGCGATACAGACAGAACGATCCGCCAATAAAGACACGGAAGTGATGTCCTTGTATCTCATTTACCAATTTTTGCTTCAGAAACACCTGCGTATCTTTACTGATAGGCAATGCACCTGCCCAGCAGACTTTATGACTCTGTTGTAGAGACGTGAGGACAGAGACATTATTACCGACTAATAAAACCTGTTCTGACATGTTTATCAGTCTATATATCTGTCAACAAAGATACCCAGGTGTTACACATATGTCTAATTCACCACCCTATCTATATTATACCCTCTAATTTAAGGTTTGAAGACTATCGACTGCCTGCTTCGCCGGTAAAAGCAACCCCTGTCTCAGGGCCAATTAATCCGTCTGTAAATCCGATACTAACGGCATTAAGACAGTAATCCCTAATATAGGCCTAGACCTTAGGCATATAATCTATCATTATTTTTCCTGTGTAAACTTGACACATTTAAAGTCTATCGACTGTGCCAGAGTCATTAAGGTTGAATTTCACTTGTAAAGTTTCTTTACAATGGCTTTAAGTCATAGGATAGATATTAATATAGGTTATGTTTGTACAGACACATACAAATTTTTGGTGTATGGTATATTCATTAAGATATATACACGTCTCGATTTATATTGCGTATATACCTAGAGATATACACATTTTGGTATATACAAAAAGTATAATTCTCGGTGTATATGCAAATCTCATAGTAAAAACAGAGATATACACATCTCGGTATATCTATATATGTATATATGCATATATATATATATATATATATATATATTATATATATATATATATATATATATATATATATATATATATATATATTTATATATATATATATATATATATATATATATTATTATTATTATTATTATTATTATTATTATTATTATTATTATTATTATTATTATTATTATTATTTATTAACACATCGGAAGTTTTCCACCAAGGCAAGTTAAGATTCACCTCAACTTTCATAGATCCATCTGCTGACACGTCCACTCCTAAATATCTGAATACATTCACCTCCTCCATACTCTCTCCCTCCAATCTGATATGCTGTCTTTCGTTACCTAATTTTTTTTTGTTATCCTCATCACCTTTCTCTTTCCTATATTCACTTTGAATTTTCTTCTTTTACATAGGATGGATAATGAGAACCTTCAAAACTAGGGACGCCAAGCCCATGATGATTCTCTTCAAATCACTTGTGCTCTCTAGGCTGGAATACTGATGTACACTAACTGCCCCCTTCAAGGCTGGCCAAATTGAAAACCTGGAGAGTGTACAAAGAACTTTCAAAGGCACACATAAGTGCGATAAGGCACCCAAACTACTGGGAACGGTTAAAGGTCCTTGATCTGTATTCCCTCAAACGTAGGCGAGAGAGACACATGATAATGTACACTTGGAATGTCCTGGAGGGATTGGTACCAAACATGCACACGAAAATCACTCCCTATGAAAGCAAAAGACTTTGCAGGAAATACAACATTCCCCCAATGAAAAGCAGGGGTGCCACGAGTACATTGAGACACAACACGATAAGTGTCCGGGGCCCAGGACTGTTCAACTGCCTCCCAGTATACATAAGGGGGATTACCAATAGACCCCTGGCTTTAAGAAGGCACTGGAAAGGCACCTAAAGTCAGTACCTGACCAACCGGGCTGTAGCGTACGTCAGCTTGCGTGCGGCCAGCAGTAACAGCCTGGTTGATCAGACCCTGATTCACCATGAGGCCTGGTCTCAGACCGAGCCGCGGAGGCGTTGACCCCCGAAACCCTCTCCAGGTAAACTCCAGGTAATACCTTACCAAAATCATCCACCAACCTCTGAAAATTTCTCTTCAGAATTCCCAAAAAGCACTGTCATCAGAAAAGAGCAACTGTGCAACTCTCATTTTGTGTTTAGATTCTTTATTTTTTAAAACGCCACACCTTTGCCAAGCCCTCCTTTTACTTCTCTTACAACTCCATCTATAAATATATTGAACAACCGCGGTGACATCGCACATCCTTGTCTAAGGCCTACTTTTACGGGGGAATAATCTCCCTTTTCCTACATACTTAACCTGAGCCTCATATCACATAAAAAATCTTCATGCTTTTAGTAACCCACCTCCTACACCCAACACAGAACATCTGCCACATT